ATTATGGGTGGGTTATTGTACTCTCCATCCCTGTCTTGCAGCTCCTGGCACTGACTACCCTGAGCATAATTGGTCTGGCTGTTAAAGACTGAGGCAAAGAAGGCATTAAGTACCTCAGCCTTCTCCTCATTCTTGGAGACAATGTTCCCCGCCATATCCAGTAAGGGATGGAGATTCTCCTTGCCTCTCTTTTTGTTGTTAATATATTTGTAGAAGCATTTTTTATTATCCTTTACGACTGTGGCCAGACTGAGCTCTAGCTGGGCTTTTGCCTTTCTAATTTTGTCTCTGCTTGACCTAGCAAGATCCTTATACTCTTCGTGAGTTGCCCTCCCTTTCTTCCAGAGGTGATAAACTCTCCTTTTTCTCCTGCGTCCCAGCAAAATCTCCCTGTTCAGCCAGGCCGGTCGCCTTCCCTGCCAGCTTGTCTTACAGCACATGGGGACCACCTGTTCCTGCGCCTTTAAGATTTTCTTCTTGAAGACTGTCCAGCCTTCTTGGACCCTTTTGTCCTTCAGGACTGTTTCCCAAGGGACTCTCTCAACCAGTGACCTGAACAGACTGAAGTCTGCTCTCCGGAAGTCCATGGTAGCAGTTTTGCTGACCCCTCTCCTTACTTCACTCAGAATTGAGAATTCTATCATGTCATGGTTGCTAAGCCCAAGACAGCCTCCGACCATCACATCTCCCACCAGTCCTTCTGAAGTCCTTTAGCCTGTCTTCCCTTTGATTTCTCTCAGAGACCTTACCCACATATATCATGAAATCCATAGAGTTACCTTCTAAATAGATCTGCATCAAGTTACACTCCCAAAGAAAATATATTGCTTATGTTAACTGCTTAAGTATTCTTGAGATCTGTACTAACAATAAAACTGTATTCAGAAAGCCCAAAATACTGTTTTAGAAAGGGTTTAGGTTCATACTGTAGAGGCTAAAGAGGGCTAAACTGATAAACTGTAGGAAAGAATTTTTCAGACAGCCTAAGGGACTGCCTGCGTTCACAATTTATCTCCAGACTACACGGGCTGTCCCCATCGACAGTTATTTCTTAAACCAGTCCTTGGAAAACAACTCTGAGAGACTTTTGCATTTGTGCTCAAGGGTCTTAGTGATAGAACCAGGTCAACTAGGAACATGATTTCCCCACCTCTCTCATTCATAAGCAAGGCAACTCTGCTGGAACTATGTCTAGGAAGCAACCAAGCATAACAAATAAGCACAAATTGACAAGCATCAGTGTGTTCTGTCTTGCCATGACTCCAGAGCATTTGCATCATCAGCAACAGTGCAAATCCGCATTATGTCAAGGGCGACATTTCTAGAAGCAAAAAAGTTTCACAGGCTGTATAGCACTTTAACAGAAAATTGCTATGAAGATGCTGACAAATAAATATAAAAACAGTGGGTAGGAGCTCTCTATACTTGAGATAAACAACAAACACTTTTAAACATTTTTGCATCGCCTTGCTGAATAGTGTAACAGCAGTTCAATACTTAGAAATCAGCTGGTTTAATGCCTAGAAAAAAGAATACTTGTTACTAGAGATCATTGCCATTACCATTTCAGAACTACATTTGCAGGGATGAAAGCTTCAGAAGGATTTGGGGTCATCTGTGCCTGAGTAATGGCAAATGAAGAAGCAAAATTATAGAAGTTATCCAACATCTTCTGAGTGAACTGAAATTAAAAAAAGACATTTTAAGTAAGTTCGTTTTTCAGTTTGAATTTTCATGCAACAGTTTAACAGATATACAACTCCAATATGAAGTAAAATTAGCATTACCATCTAAAACACAAAGAAAGTGTATAGTAGGTCCAGGGATGTCTGTTTTAAATTGATCAAAACATCCTAACTCTCAGTCTTGCCCTCAGATCCATGTGTCATCCAGAAATCATTTGCAGAATCTTCACTCGCTCTCTCCCTGCCCAACTTCATCCAACTGAACAAACAGCTTTGGGAAGAACATTTTCTTGTTGTGATAAAGAAGTGATGCATTGAGAAGAGCTGTCCCTCTCCTCCAAATTAAACCATTGGAAGAACTGTAGCCCAGGTGAAAGCTGCCATTCCAGCTCATAGCAGAACACTCTGCCACAAAGATCTTGCTGGGGAAAACATGAAAAAAGGTGCATAGGAAACTCCTAAGCTGTAGGAATAAGGAAGTAAAAGTGAAAGAGAAGCCAAGAAGCAGTAAGCCCTGTGTGCAGAGGATGAGGCTGCAGGACATTCCCAGCCAGTCTACAAGTACATAAACCTATGGTACCCCCTTCTTTTCCCTATTCTTTTTTATTAAAAAAAAAAAAAAGTAGCATGCATTGTTTTGGCGGGAGAACAAACTATTTTCATAGACAGTGAAATGATGGAGGAAAACAAAGAGTCTGGGGCAATATATGCACACTGTTGTGCTTCCCTCCACCTGCTCTGACAAAAGGAGTAGAAGAACTGATGTCCTAGAACCTACCCTCAGTCTCACCCTACTCACATGCAAAACTCTGCGGTTTTGTGCCATTTTTTTCCATGTATCTTTTTTATACTATAACTATATATATATTAAAAAATAATATACAAAATAAAGCTTCAGCTTCATATAACTTACTGAAAATGTAGTGGGAAAGCCACCCCATAGAGTAGCAACAGATGATTTTGCCTTTAAAAAAATACTTTTATTGCTGTAATGTAGCAGTTCCAAAGAGATGATGCCAAGTATTAAATAAAAGCTAGTAGTCATTCAGAAACATGCTCTCATATCCCCTTCCTCTGCTATCTACTCCCTCAAAGGTTTCCTTCAACTATGACTTCATAGGTTTTTCTATAGAAGTAACTATTACTTCAGGCTTTGGCTCAACCGCATTCCTTGAAAGAAATACATGACTTCAGTTAAGATGCTACTCTTTTTAATAGAAAAATCCACTTAGGTGGAAATAACATTTGTAAAAAAGTTACACAATCATGAGGTGGTTTTGTTTTTTCTTTAAATATTATTGCCAGAAAAATCCACCAGCCACCTTGCAAATGACCTTAAGCGGCACATTATTACTTAATGATTTAACTACTGCTATTATAAACATTGGTGGAAATTAGAAATATTATTTAGATGTCATTTGCCCCTAACAACTCCAGAAAAGCTCAATTAACCATACAATACAAAAATAGCTGTCGGTAAACTCCTAGTCACGATAACTTTCTGCAAGAGACATTACCTATCTGGAGCTATTACGCGTATAAGCTGCCAAAGGACATCAGCTACATTATCAGGATTACTGTTCTGTTACCAATCTACCTGAGCAACCACCTGTAAGGAAAGTGAGAAAGAAAAAAAAAAAAAACAAAACCTCAAGAAAAGCCTCACCAACTGCTGAAATATTAAAAGATAATGCCAGAGTCATCAGTGTTAGGGAAATCAAGACCTGCCATGAAGATCTATGTTGCCTTGAATTGCCAACTTGATGGCCAACTAACTGCCAATGCTGGCTGAGGATTTCCAGAGATTCAAACTAACAGACAGGCTGGGTAAAAACTGCAAGTGTTGCAGCGCAAGGCCTGGTCCACAGGCAAAGAACTTGAGGGAAAAAAAAAAGTAAAATACGCCTTTCTGTGGGAGAGAGCATGATTTTGTAGTTCTGCAGAACTACATCAGAAGGATTTCTCGAGGGTCAGTGGTACACTTGGGTATTGATCTGCCTCAACTTTTGAGTCATTTTTGACCAACCCTGCAAGTCGATGCACTGGAGTTCCAGCACCTACAAACCTCCAAAGATCCACTGTCTCTTACATGCATTTAGTCATAGCTGCTCCTCTAAGGAAGCATCATAAATATTTTTACAGCAGAGAGACATCGACATGAGTGAGCCTATCAGCCTGATTCCACTGAGCATGCAAAATCCAATCCTTTACAGAAGATGTAGTTTTCCAGCATAAGAAAAAGTAATTTAAAAATATCAAAGCATCCAGCCAAATGATTTGACAATTATTAGGTTGGTTACAATTCTATAGCCACCCATAACTGCTTTTTTTTTTTTAAATTAGTTCTTCAGAGGCTCAATTCTTAATACTTTAGTAGTACAGAGAATTTCTGAAAACAGAATGTTCAAGCTACCTCCGTGAATGAATCTACTGATGACACAGCAGCACTTGCAACAGGAGTCTGCTGAGCAAGGTTCTCCAGCAGTTCCACAGAGATTCCAATCTGGGCCACTGTTGGCGTCTGAGGGAGGTTCATGGCACCAAAGGGATGTTGACTTCCCTTCCCTGAAAGCACCACAAACAGCAAGCATTAGCTTTGGCACACATGTAAAGACTGTGTTACTTAAATTACAGTGTTTCTTCTGTACAAGGCATTCCTCAGCTCCCACCAGAGATCTCAGAAATACAGAAAAATCACACAGTCCAAGCACAGATCAAACAGTGTGACAGATACATTTAAGAATGAGAGCAGATTTTGAGGAAATTTCTATAAAAAGGAAAAACATAATTTTAAAGCTCCCTATGAAGTAAATGGATTCAACAGGAAATATGATCTGTAAGAGACAGTAGAACCTTCCTCTGTAGGAACCAAGCCTTTAATTCACATTGTAACAACTGCCGATAAACGGGAAATATGCAGCACTGCTGCACAGTTGTTTGATTCACTCATTCAAACCAGGTGCTTGTGAATCTGTTTGTGCGCTGAAAGATAGAGAATGTTACTTCAAGAAGCCACCCGTGGCCCAGGTCTCGTCTGAGCTGCTCAAAACCACCAACAGCAGCAGAGGTCAAAGGAATAGCCACAGAACAGAAAGGCCTCTGACTTTGCAAAAGCCACAAAGGAAACAAAACAAAAAAAATACCCCCAAATAGCACACCACTCATACAGGCATCATCACAGCCCCCTGCCATCACTTCTGACCTTTCTCAACTGAGTATTAACCAGTACTTTCAGTCTCAGCTTCAGCTAGGGTCTCTGCAAACAATGACAGGCATCTGAAGTCACTTAAATCACACACTCCTCTTTTCCTTTACAGATGCTGACAAATACAGGTGAAAGGTCTGGGGGGCCTCAATGCTATTAGTAAACAAATACCAATACTCCACTTAAGTTTGAGTGAACACAGTAGACAAGTGCCCTCATAACAGAGAGGTGACGTTTCAGCACCACTCTGGCCTCTTACTACCAGGAGAGAACAAACCTAATCCAAAGCTGTCCTACAGACCAGTCAACACTATCCTGAGCTGCAAGAAAGGCTAACTGAAATCTAAAGCACCATCTCACTTAGTTCCATGATCAAAAACCCAGCCAGCAAAAAGAGCACGTTTGAGAAGTTGAACTCAGGCTCAAGACTGAAGATCTCAAACTCAACCATTCTTCTGCAGGGACACAAGGCACTGCCACAAAGAAGCCAACATCCAACCTGTACAGAAAGCACAGTCACAGACCCAGCACCCTTTTCAGCTGAAGCCTAGTGTCACTCCTCACTCCAGATCCTACAACTGCAATATAGTGCTACATTTACGAGTACAGTACTCACTATTGAAAAGTTACTTTAACACAAGGCCAGTAAGAGTTCATCTCCTGAAGCGCTATTTCAAAGCTCTTCTGAGAAATGCCACTGCTGTATGATCTCAACCTTTACTGTAGATACATGCTTGCTTGATAAAGGTAAAATTTATTAAAAGTATTAAGAAAGAGAAAAGCTATTCAAAACCAAGTATCACACAAGTTCATTATTAAAAAATCCCAGTAACAATAGAACTGGTAGAAGTTTTAGATCTTGTAACATCTTCGCCTGAAAACCTGACATTTACAATAAAAGTGTAACATCTCCAAGCAACAGGCTCCATCAGAATGTATCACTACTTGGGAAGACACTCATGGTCTAAATAATAAAATACATCCATTAGGTCACTTTGCGTGCACTCCCACGGAACCACTCTCCTGGAAAGATGTCCACCCAAAGGGTGAGAGAAAAGCATTGCCTGCCATCCTGCATCCATACTACACCAGCTGCAATACACTCCACATTTTCGATGCTTGGCTCTTGCAATTAACATTCCAAACCTTACAGAGAAGATGGTATGTTGATTGGTACTAAAATACAAGCTCAAGTTTTCATATTCAGACCCTACACTCTCCAATGTACTATGTCATAACAGAGCAACTGGAATGAAAAAACTAATTTTTCCACCCCTTCCTTTCCCTTCATTGAACCCTTGATTCAAGACAGTGAGCCCTCATTACCTTCTAGCCCAGTCACGTCAAAAACCTTACGCATGTGTAAGGTTTCAAATGCAGACATGGTATTGGAGAGTATATTTATAGGTGGAAGACAGAGCATCACACACATCATTGCATGCTGCATGGCAGAAAAAGCCTGTAATGGAAAAGGCTATCCTGTAACTTTCGTCCCACTTGTTTACATATACTTCCAGTAAGGGGGCAAAATCACTGCCCAAGGTTTTTCTATTTCTACTAGATTTTCAGGCACAACTGGAAAAACAAAAAAGCCCTTACAATTCCATGGCAAGGAGTATTTCTAAGTCCTTTTTTTATGCACAATCACATGAAATTAATCTACTCTCAATCAGTAAAACAACATGCAGTCAGATAAGAATATATAATTGCATGCACTAAAGTATTACCAGCCATTTATTCCTTTCCAGATCTAGAAGTACAGACAAGGCAGTAACAGTGACAATTGCCAGCAATGGCATTCTTCTAAAGCTGGATTCTCTAGGCCCAAACTGCTTCCCTGCAGCACCGCTTCCTGCTTTGAAAAGGAAAGCCAGCAAAACATTCTGTCCACAACACTTTCCAAAGCGACCTAAACACAACACCTGTGGCAAAAACCAGCCTCCCAAGAGCAGCCATGCTCTGCAAGGGCATCAGGAGCCCAAGCAAAAAACTTGAACTCTTCAGTCACACCAATTCCTTGTGTTGAGTGATAAAGCTCACAGCAATTCCCCTAGGAATGCCAGTAACCTTAATGAATGAATGGAGTGAGTACTACTAGCGCAGCTCAAACAGGCACCAAGGAATCTTACTACAACGTTTATTACTGCTGCAGTTTATTACACAAGTGCAGAAATTGTGCAATTTCAGGAGATCAACTCAGCCTCTTTCACAAAAGTACATTGTTTTTTCATTCCTTTATGGCCATAAAGAAGCCACTTCAGCTGTGTTAAAGCCAGAAATATTCTATTCTGCCTTGACTACAGGCTGTTAAATGTTTCACCTGTAATGAAAAATCCAGAAATGGGATAAGTAAGAGCCTGAAAGGCTACACATTGACTGTCATCCCACTGTGGGGTGGGGAAATGACCAGAAAAACCCAAAACCACACTAAAACACATTATCCAGCTTTTAGCATGAATTGACAGGAAATCAAAATGAAAGTTTTCCGCCATCCAAGCAGGAGCACCACCACTCACAAACTTCCTAAGAGTCAATCAGCTGTATATACAGCAGGGAAGATCGCTTCCGTTCACCTCCAGGAATTTGACTGCTGGAACACAAGTTGTCCCTGCTCCACTTCCTACCAAAAACCAAATACAAGCAACACTGCCAACCCTCTACAAACATAGGAATATCTCAAAGACAACCCAACTGAGAAGATAATTAACTACATTACTATGCTCTACAGTAAGCCATGTGCCAGCACCTCACTCTTATCAAGTACTGGTATGGCATACTTGGGACAGGTTGTTTTCTTACCTTGGAGGGCAGTACTGCAACCAGCACCACCCTTCTGTTGCCTCTCATCCAAAACATTTGCTGTAGGCCTAAATGATCCTTGCCACTTCCATAAGGTATTTGATGATTATATTCAGGTTTTCTGAATGCTAACTGCCAATTTTGACTGG